CCCCTCTCCCATTCTTAGTGTATCCTTTCCCATCTCTTTCCTTTTCCTTTTAAGATAATAAAAACATAATAAAAACCACTCCCAGACCAGACACTCCATCTTATTTGATTCTAAGGCCCCTAGTGACTTTAGGATTCTGAGGGACCCTTTGTATAATTTCTTTTGTTTATCCTTCATTTTTGAAGAGGACCAATGACATCACAGTGTTGGGGTAAAATAGTGGGTGATGGGTGATGTTTTGACTTGCCCATGAACTGGCTTTAAGTGAGGCAGAGTGGTACAAAGTCATCAGCCTCACTCTTCCATAGTCATCAAAGTCCAGTGACAGGACAACAGTCAAGATGACTGTTAATGGCCCGGGGATGCAGTGGATGACCTCTGTGTCTTTGATGTCTGACTAAGCTCTAAATGCTCCACAGTGCTGGCTTCAGCTGCTTTCATGGCCCTTGGAACAAATCATTCTCATCCCTTACTATTCATTAGAATGAAAACATTTTATCCTTCTAAAGTAGTTTTTTGATTGCTCATTTGCATTTCCATACACATATGTGTGTATACCTATGTGAATATATGATACACACACATGTACACGTACAGTGTATTGCCGGATTAATTGCAAGTTCTGGGCATTGAGTCCCCATAGCCGGCCCCTCTGGGAAACTCCAAGCTGTTAACATTCCATTCTACTGTGCATGACACATTATAGCTACAATTCTATCTCTTTCCTTTTAACCCCTAGAGCAATTATCTCCTACTGCTTATTTGGCATTTATCTCCTGTTATCTGAGCTAGGACTAAGAGAAGGCAGTGCAGGCCTCACGAATGATGTCCAGGGTGGAGGGTCTGTTTTCAATATTACTTTTTATACATATGCCACATGAATATTAGTTGAAGAAACTAACGAGGTTTGTTTAGCTTAAAAAGAAAAGACTCAGAGTGGACTGATAACTGTTTTAAAGTATTTAGAGGGCTATGATGAAGAGAATTGACTTGTTCTATTTGGCTACAGAAGGCTGAACAAGAAGTGTGTGGAAATTAGAAAGAGGTAGATTTAAGTACAAAGAATATAATGGGGAGAAGTGTCCAAAAGTAGAGCGAGATGTTGGAAGGCAGTCAGTTTCCTTTCATTGGAGGTATTCAAATGGAGGCTGAATGACCACTGGTCAGGGAGGCTGTAAGAGAATTCCTTGAGCCAGATGGCCACTGACTTTCCTTAACAACTCTGAGATTCCGTGATTGATTTAGACAATCCTCATTGTCAATAATCCTAATGATGAAATTGGCAATGGATTATTGCTTTTGGACACACCGGGGTAATGTGGATTATTTTCCACTAGCTTCTGTAGATTAATCCAGGGTAAAAAAAGAGATGCTATGTTCTCTTTCAGGATGTTGTGTTTGTCAATCTGTCCTTTGAATTTGGGGAAATTAATAATGTCAAGAATGGACATGAGATGGCTGTTTTCCTCATTTATTTTTATGTCCTCAAGAAAAAAAAACTATTAAATTTTCAACAGGTGATTATTTACTATATTTCCCTGTAAAGTCTTTGCATGTTAGTACCCACTATTGTTACTCATGCAGTTTTATTTGGTAATTTGCAAATCTGTTGGTTATACCCTGTACCAGGATGTTCTATAGTAATTAACATCAGAATGCAAAATTATTTTCTAAATTAAGAGTCTGGAATCTTTTGTTAAACAAAGGAAGGCTTTCAACATTGTGCCCAAGTTATCATATACATAATATAATAATTAGCCAGGATTACTCATCATGAGATATACGCACATATTAATCATTGTAAAAAGTAGTAGTCTCCAAACTTTTTTGATTATGCATTCTATCAATTAAAAAATACTGGGGCAGCTAGGTGGCGAAGTAGATTGAGGACTGGCCCTGAAGTCAGGAGGACCTGAGTTCAAATCTGGCCTCAGACCAAATACTTGACACTTACTAGCTGTGTGACCCTGGGCAAGTCACTTAACCCCAACTGCCTAAAAAAAAAAGTCCAGAAAAATATTTAAAGTATTCACCTTACATATGTCTGTATTTACTTATTTGTAAGTTACATTGCTACATGTTAATAATTATGAATATAACACAAAATGTAAATAAAAATTTTAAAATAAAGATGAAATTATTGATATTAGAATCAATAGATAGCCAATAGAGTTTATTCAGTGGAGCAATGACCTAGTCGGAGGTGTCTTTGTTGTTGGGTTGAGTGTGACTCCATGACCTCATTTGAGGTTTTCTTGGCAAAGAAAACTAGTTTGCCATTTCCTTCTCCAGCTCATTTTACATATGAGGAAACTGAGGCAAGAAGGGTTAAGTGACTTGTCCAGGGTCACCTAGTTAGTAAGTTTCTGAGGCCAGATTTTAATTCAGGAAGATGAGTCTTTCTGACTCTAAGCCAGGTACTCTATCCACTGTGCCATCTAGCTGCCCCTCCAGACACGTTTTAAGAATATCAGTTTGTTAGCTATGTGATGGATTGATTGGAACAGGGGAAAGAATTGAGGCAGGCAGACCAATTAGGAGTCTAATACAGTAGTGCCTATGAGAAACAATGAGGGCTTGAGAGAGGGAGATGGCTGTCTGAGTATAGAAAAGGGGATGGACAGAAAAGATTGTGTGGGGATATAATTGATAGGGTTTGATAACGTAGGATATGTGGGGTGAGGGAGAGTCAGAAGTCAAGGCTGACAGAGGTTAAATTAAACATGAGTCACTGTAAAGATTGGTGGTATCCTCTACAGAAATAGGGAAGTGCTGAGATGGAGTGGCTTTGGGGGAAAGATGATGGAACAAGATTAGTGATGCAGATCAAAATCTATTCATTTCTGTTCATTCTGTGCTACTCAGTTTGTCCCACTGAAAATAAAAAGCAGGATGGGATGACAGCTCTTATTCACCAGCCCCTGAGCACTTTCTAGAACACAAAATTTACAAAGGGTGCCTGAGGCGACCTGGGGGCAGGCTGGGCTTATTCAATGGGGTGGGGAAATTTTGTCTGTGGATATTGGTGCAGGTTGCATAGTCCTGATTTGGTTATAACTGCCCCCAAGGGACTGAAGACCACAGGCATTCACCTCCAGCCATGGGGGGGACCGAATAAAGTGGAGGAGTATTGGGCTATGAAGAAGTCTGTGGAATTGTCTTGGAGACAAGCCTTGCAATTAGCTGTCACAGGCCTGAGACCTATCTTTCCATTTTCCTATTAGTTACCCCTTAGAATTATGCCACAGCCGCCTTGGAGTCCTGCTATAGTCCATTGAGGATACAATCCCCACATTGTAGACTAATTGGGCTAAAAAAATGAGATATCTACATACCCTCTTTTTTTTTTTTTTAGTATATTAGCTAATGAGTTCTTCATGCTGAGAAGTTCAACATTCAATTATTTTAAATGAATACCTTCCCTCACATATGTATGGTGCCTTATACATGAGATAGGAATTTCATAACATGGAAATTGAAATACCTTATGTTCCACCACAGAGAAGTATAAACATGAGTACTGAACCATTGCAATCAATACCAACTCTCCCGGGACATCCTTATAATGGTGAAGGAAGTATAGAAACATTTACCAGCAGTGCGTACGACTGAAAGAGACAGTCACACAGAAACACAGAGGCAGAGATAGAAGGGGAAAAGAAGGGAATACACTTTTATATAGCACCTACTGTGTGCCAGGGAATGTGCTAAGTGCTGTACAAACATTATCTAATTTGATCCTCACAATAACCCAGCGAGGTAGGTGTTGAAAGGGACAGACAGGCAGGCCGGCAGCCACGGAGAGAAAAGGCTTGCTTGAAAGCTGAGTTGCATGTCTACTAATCCTGGAAGTGTACACTGTCTCAAGCAAGCTTGGTATTACATGGTACGGTGAAAAGAGTACTAGTTTGGGGCTCGGGGGGTTCAAGTACCACACAGTTAAGTAGCTGTGCGACTTTGGACAAGTCACTCAACCTTTCCAGACTTTAGTTTCCTCATCTGCAACATCGGGGGATAGGGATACGATCTTCAGGGTCCTCCCTAGCCACAACATTATGTGCAGAAAACTGCGGAGAGGAGAAAGGAAAAAGGAAAAGGAAAAGCAGAAAGAAATGGAGAAAAAGAATAAGAGGAGCAAACGAAAAAGGCGGACAGATTGGCCGCCGAGAAGCTTCTTCCTCCTCCTACTCCTTCTCGTCCTCCACCCCTCTCTTCCTCCTCCTCCTCTTGCAAATTCTGTCTGCCCCCACGCCCCCAACCCCACCCCCCTTTCCGGGCTGCGGTGAAAACATGGAGACTCTGAATCCGCCCCATGACTAACTCCTGCACCGCGAAGGAGCCGGGACACACACATACACACACACACTCTCTCTCTCTCACACACACACACACACACACACACACACACCAACACACACACACACGCACACACTCTCGTACACTCTGGGCATGCTCAGTCGGCGGGGCCGGTTCAGGCTGCTGCCACCACCACCACCAGCAGCAGGAGTAGCAGCAGCGGCAGCAGCAGCGGCAACAGCAGCGGCAACAGCAGCGGCAACAGCAGCGGCAACAGCAGCAGCGGCAGCAGCAGCCCCGCCGCTACCGCGGCCGCCGCTGCTGAGTCGGAAGCCTGTGCGGAGCAAGCGGGGCTGTCAGTGAGAGCGGAGACGGCGAGGGCGCGCGCGCAGCGGCGGCTCGGGCTCCGGCACCGGCACCTGGGGCTCCCGCGGCCGGAGCACAGCAGCAGCGGCGGCGGCGGCCCCGGGACCCGCGGCAGCAGCAGCAGCAGCAGCAGCCCCGGCCGTGCCGGATCGGGCACTGTCTGCTCCTCTCCAGCCAGGACCTCCTGGTCCCCCACCTGGCCCCGGGGCTCCTGCCTTTCCTTCTTTCCGGGGAGCGGAGGGAAGGTGTCCAGCACCTCTTGCTCCCCTCCAGCCTCCCCACTCCCTCGTTGGGCTTCGGCTTTCCCAGGGGAGGCAGGTGGTGGTTTGGGGGGGACCATGGCCGACGTTTTCTCGGTCAACGACTCCACAGAGTCTCTGGACGTGGCCAACCGCTTCGCCCGCAAAGGGGCGCTAAGGCAGAAGAACGTGCACGAAGTCAAGGACCACAGATTCATCGCCCGCTTCTTCAAGCAGCCCACCTTCTGCAGCCATTGCACTGACTTCATCTGGTAGGCGCACGCCCCGATTGGGCTGGGGTCTGAGAGAGTGGCGGACGGGGGAGGGGGGAGGTGTGGGGTAAGGCGGGGCGCTGTTGGGAGAGGTGGTGGTAGAGAGAGGCACTGGTACAGGCACACTCACCAACATACTCACCCCGAGGTGCCCGTGGGCAGTTGCACTTTTACACCTATACACATTCAATACCCTGGCACTCAGCTGACACACCCATGCACACTCACACTCAGACACCCTGGGGAAAGCTGGACAGTAATGTGTACACACACACACACACACACACACACACACACGCAGGCTGATCCTCCCACAGAGCTTAGTGGCAGAGAAACACCAATGGACACTCACACTAAAAGATACAAACACACCCACACCTACTCTCATTCACTTTATTGACACCCCTCCACGCAGTGACAAACCCACTGGCGGGGTCTACAATGATAGTTTCTTCTTGGCATTCCCTGACAGGCTATGAAGTAGAGGCTGGCACTGCCAGGCATTGGCATTTACACACATACACACAGATGCTGATAAATTCAGGCTGCCCTCTTCTACATGCGCACACTCACACAGGTAGTAGAGCAATGGTGTGTGGCTATGTGGACCAAGTAAAAAAAAAATTTAAAACCTAAAGGCAGAAGAGTTTCCCAGATCTTGTCGGGAGAACCACAGACAGGAGAAACTGAGGAGCTGCTGCAACTGTGCTGTCACTCATTCCGAGCCTCCTCTTTGCCAGAGGGCGTGTGTTGACTCTCCCTGTGTGTGCCTTTCCTTCTAGCTTACACTCCACTGAACCTTGTGCCCCCGCCTACGGTAGCTTATAACTGCTGGGCACAGAAAGACTTCGACTTTTCTGAGTAAGGAAGGAGAAAGAGAGAGAGAGAGAGAGAGAGAGAGAGAGAGAGCGAGAGAGAGAGAGAGCGAGAGAGAGAGAGAGCGAGAGAGAGAGAGAGCGAGAGAGAGAGAGAGCGAGAGCGAGAGAGAGAGCGAGAGAGAGCGAGAGAGAGCGAGAGCGAGAGAGAGAGAGAGAGAGAGAGAGAGAGCGAGAGAGAGAGAGAGCGAGAGCGAGAGAGCGAGCGCGAGAGAGAGAGAGCGCGAGAAAGCGACCGAGCGCAGCAAACTGTTGCAAGCATGTGGTGGGGGAGGAGGTGCATTAAAACAGAGCAGGCAAAGGGCAGGAGGCATTTAAAATACACCCTGTCAACACAAGATTAGCCTTGCAAGTCTGTAGATGACAAAAGATTCCTTATTTTAAAAAAGTGCTATAAAGAATAAAGGCACTTGATAGTTATTTAAAACTAAAGATATGTCCAATTGGGCATAAGATTGCTAGGTAGGAGAAAGTAGTTCTTCCTCACCCCCTCCTTCCAAATTGTTACTTTATACATCTTTTTCTGCTTCTTGTTCGTACATGTAGGCAGTCTGCAATAGTTTGCTAAATGTAGTTCCTTAGGTCCTGGACCCTAAAAGACACATTGAAACTACATCTTAACTCCAGCCAGCTGTTTCCTCTAGGCATCTTCTTGTCCCCAAGGGATGAAAATATAGTAGTACCCCAGTGTAAATCTGTCAGTGTTGGACAATTGACTTAAATTGGTGGGTTGGTGCTGTCCTTCTAAAAAGAATGGCATTTAAAAAAAAAGAATCAAATCAGAATTCATAGTTCGAATGAAGCTGTTATACTCAATGGAATGGGTAGTTATAGATGTGGCTATATGAAAAAAGATAGAGCATCAGGGCAAAGGAAGACAGCAAATATTTTAAGGGAGTGCTTACTATCTCCATTAAATAGGTATCTTTTGCTTACTTCAGGCTCTTAATGCTTTCTTTTTATTGTTACATTCTTTAAAAATAGAACTCTGTTGCTTAGTTCTTGGGAAAGCTGCTAAATTGAAAGACTAAATTCCAATATACTTCATTTTCCTACTATCAGAGATTAAAGGAACAAAATTCTGTGTTGACCGGCAAATCCAGACAATTCAAACAATTCCCCTGCCCCTATTGTTACTTCTGTTATCTAGATGCTTGTGGTAAAACTTTTTTCTTTTCTCTTTCTTTTTACCTTCCTTCCCTCCCTCCCCCTTCTCTCCCTCCCTCCCTCTCTCCCTCCTTTCCTTCCTTCCTTCCTTCCTTCCTTCCTTCCTTCCTTCCTTCCTTCCTTCCTTCCTTCCTTCCTTTTTTTTTTTGCCTTGTATGTGGACAATTGCTTCAGTTCCTACCTTCACTTATGCTAGTGTGGTCTAGCAACATTTTCTAATTATCAGTTGATTTCTAGTTTCTGCATTTACAAAATTTTTATTTGAGTCTGAAAGTAGTGAAGCTAAATATTTATATTTAGTGTATCATATTAGAAAGCACTCTAATCTGCATTTCTGAATTACTTTTAATTCATCGTTTTTGGCTGGGAAAGAAATGCTTTGCAACTTAATATCTATTTTAAGTTGCTTTTATCCTGAAATCATTTTTACTCTGGACACAGATAATATCAAATGATTCCAAAAAAACCAAGTCTACATAAGGTTAACTCAGTAAATATTAAACGGTTACTCATCTCAAGTGCAAACAACAGATACAACGATTTATTTGTAAGATTGGGCACTTATAGCCAAAGTTAAACCTTAAGAAAGTTTACTTTCACAGATTCTAGGTTTTGAGAAGTCCATATATTTTAAACTTTTAACAATTTTATACACTTAGTTAAGCTGTTTGTAGAGTGAGAAAAAGGCTTTAGTGATAAAGGAATAAAATTGCTTTTTGTTCCAGTACATGTACTTTTGAAACAAATAGTACAATTTTTAATGTCATACCTGTAACATTTTGAAAGCTGAGTATCAACATCATAGGTATGCAAAGCTGAAAACTGTGACACTGTAAAATTCCAGGGTAGTTGGTGGAAGTATTTTCCAAAGTTGAATCTATGGAGGTGGTAATCCGAGCATTCACCGTTCTGAAGTATGTTTTTGCTACAAGACCAGAGGGTTTTATTGGATAACCTTTAAATGTGTAAGAATAGCCTGCCCCTTATTTTCCTTGAATGTTATTATTCAACACAAAATTTCTTAAGACATTTTTGTTCTTTCTGTTTTTTTTTTTCAGGGGGTTTGGAAAACAAGGTTTCCAGTGCCAAGGTAAGTGATGTGGTTTTCTTGGCTAGATGTGTGTATACTGTCTTGGATTTTGTTAAATCTAGTAGAAATGATGAAATCTAGGGCATGAAATGAGTACATCAGACAGGCAAAGTATATCAAGTCAGCTTTTTCCTTGCAGGAAAAGTATATGGTTGTCTAATTGGTTAAATGCCATGAAATATGAAGAATGGGTATTTGGGTCTTAAAAAAAATAATTTACAAAAAGAAATACTCCTAATCTCCGTACAGGGCAGCATTTCTTCCTCTTTAAAAAAAAACTTTCTGTATGTTTTTCAGGGAATGTTCTTGTCAGAAACTACTGTGTCTGTGTGTGGGTGTTTAGGAAAATGGATCCACTTTATATTCATATGGCTTTTCTTTCCTGTTCTTTGTTTTTCACCATTATCTGTTTTACCTATGCACTGAGTTGTACTGATTGCAATTCATTTTAGGTGACACAGAGTCCCTGTGTCAAACTTTTAAAAATCCATTTTAAAATTGTATGCACATTTGATAGTGCATTCAATTTTTAAATGGATTTTAAATAGTTCATCATGACTGTAGACCTGATCCTTATGCAGAACCAAGTTTGTACTTACTAACATAATGGAACTGATAGGATAGCAACTTAAAATATTATGTTGCAGCACTTTTATATTCCTTAAATACTCATCAAATAATATAATGCCCCTTCATGAAGAAGAAATAATTTCTTATGGGAATGTGCTTTTGATTAGAGTAGCATTAAATTCATGCAAAATTTCTAATTTTTCAAAGTTTCCATACCCCTTGGAGTGTCATTTCTGCTACCTAATAATAATGATAAAAATAGTGAGTCTGTATAAAGAGCTTTAAGGTTTGCCAAGCATCATCCACATATTATCTCATTTGATCCTCAAAAACCAACCAAACAAACAAAAAACACCATGTAAAGCAGGTTCAGCTGTCCCCATTTTACAGATAAGATAACTTAGGCTAAGAGATTTATTTGACTTGTCCAAGGTCACACAGTTATTAAGTATTTGAGGCAGTATTGAACTCAGGTCTTCCAGCCCCCAACTCCAATGTTCCATCTGTTGTTCAACTAGCTGCCTTTACTTAGATGAATCATGCATACTTTTAGGATTTATTAGCTCACTCTCTGTCTAGTCCCTTTGTCAAATATTTTTTGGTGATTTACTAAACTGGAAACCACATATTCCCATTCAGGATATAAGTTTTATTTATTAGCTGTGTGTTAAATGCTTTTGACAGTTCAGAAGAGGACACAGACAGTGGAATTTTCTTACCTTGTTAAATTTTATATACTCTTAAAAAAAAACAAGCTGAGCATACTAGAAGCTCATAATTCCATAGACTAATCTTGTTTTTGAGAGGTGGTCATGGCATAGTGGATAGAGAGCTGGCTTCAAAGTCAGAAAGACTTGGGTTCATATCCTGCCTCTAATATATATTGGCTAGGTGACCCTGGACAGTTCACTTAACCTTGAAGTGCTTTAGGAAATTCTGTAAAACTTTAAGTTCCAGAGTAGCTATAGATTGGTGTTGGTAGAGAGAGTTTCCTACATGAATAAAATCACAGGTCTATAAAAGAAAAATCCCATTTTTTTTGTTCTTTGATATATTGATATATTTGTTTAATGACTATTAAATTAATAATACAAATTTAAAAATGAATTAAAGATAAAAAAAGTATTTTTGACTTGAAAAGTCTTAATATTATTCATTTCAGTAAGCAAATTATTGAAAACAGCTATAACAAAACAGAAATACTGTATTTTCTTTTTTAAAGTTTAATTTTCTCATAGTATTATTTTCATAATTAGTTACATTTTCAAAACTCCAAGATAAGGTGAGGCCCATTTCTTATATTCACCCTGTAATCACGGTTTAAATTTGAGGATTCCTTATATGATCATTCCCTAATATTTGCATTCTCTTACAACAAGATTCTTTTTAAAAGTCGTAGTGAATGAATTCTTTGGGAAGTTAACAGTATATGTCTAGGCAAATATTTTTTAAGTAAGAGGAGAATAATAATTAGATACTGTGCTACTCTTTTAGTGTAGATTAAAGGAAGAGAAGCAGCAGCAACCATTTCCCGAAGTCAAGTAATTTGACTTTAATAGCTGGGATGTGGCTTTTTGGCATTGTGCAGAAGCTAGCCTGTTGTAAGTCTACTGCATCTGTTATAATATTGAGTCTCGATGGTGTGGATGTGGGATTTCATTGGGTCTCTAGGGCACCTTGTTAAGAAAGCAATTAGTTGAGTAGATTATGGACTATTGGATTCTTCTCTGCTTTTCAGATCTAAGAGAAACTGAGCATAGCTACCAGAATCTTGCTTAAAAAAAAATTTCATCTTTAGAGGAATTCATTCTGCAGCTATGGGATCCCCTCTAAGATCCTGAATCCCCTTTAAGAGTATTTGATCTGGGAAATAGAAAAGAACCTCATTAGATTCTTGTTTTATCTATAGGACAGCATTATAGTGTGACTATAATGACTATATTAGGAGATTATTTTGTGTGCAAGTGTAACTCATGGCAAACCAGATAAATGAAAATCTGGATTGACAAAACAGTTAAATTTGGGAGGAATCACTTGCATTCCACAAATATTCTTTGTTTTACTAAAGGATTACCACATCACTTCTTTAAATTATGAGGTTCTCTCCTGCATTTAAACTGGGCTTTACTTTGAGCAAGACCCTTTGGCATGACATCTATAGCATGTAAAGTGAGGCACATCTGTTTTTAATATAGAATTGTTAGTCATCGTGTCTCTGTCTCTGTCTCTCTCTCTGTCTCTCTCTCTCTCTCTCTCTCTCTCTCTCTCTCTCTCACACACACACACACACACACACACACACACACACACACACAGCCTGTGATTTTAATAATGTTGGGAACTCATGGGTACAGTATTGTCCTCCAGTGGTACAGAAAAACATCTCCTTTCTACCTCTAGCCTTAGAGAGTTGCCTAGGGACACAGAGGTTAAGTGGGACTTGCCCATAGTAACACAGCCTATATACAGCTATCATTCTGATGACTTGAATCCAGATCTTTTTGATTCTCAGGCTGACTGTTATCCAGTTAAGTCTATCTGTTAAACCTCACTGTCTCTCATATCATTATGTAATTTACATTTTATGAGAGAATAGTGGCTAGACAATGACCCTTATAGTCAGAAAGACTTGTTTCACGTCCATTCTCTGATGCATATACTATTTGTATGACCCTAGGGAAGTCACAACCTTCCCGAACCCCTGGCAACTCTCTTAGACTATAAATTTCAGAGTAATAAATTAGCCAATCATCAAGCGTTTATTAAGCTTTTGTGTCGGGCGCTATGCTAAGCACTAGGAATATAAAGAAAGAGAAATAAAGTCCTTATTCTCTTAGAGTTTACAACCTAACAGGGGAGAAAACATTCAAACAATTATATACCAACAAGATATATGCAGGATAAATAGACAATTTCTGAGAAAGGCACTAGCAGTAAGGACATATAGGAAAGGCTTCTTGTAGAATGTGGGTTTTCAGTTGAGACTTGAAGGAAACCAAGAGGTGGAGACAAGGAAAGATAGAATTCCAAACAGTTATTCTACAGGAATGGTGGTAAGTCTGAATTGTTGGAGGAAGCATCCTTACTTGAAGTTATTTACGCAAGTAAAATCATGGGTCTATCCCCCAATCCCCAAGTTATGATTATACATTTATGTATTACATAATACACAATATAACAAATCAATAGTACACATATGTAAAGTAAGTTCAGCATTTAAAGAGACTCTTCCAGCCGATCTAGTTAATCCCTATATCCATGTCCATAAAATGAGGTTAAACCATAAAGTCTGATGTTATTGTTACCCAGTAAAAGCTAAATAGCAATTAAGAGAATAGTGGTTGAAGAAAGAATAGAATTTTAATCGTTAAACCTGACTTCATAATTTATGGCATCTTACAGGGTAAACCCATGCAGTGAGAGGGAAGTATTATCTTTCAGAAGCCTGAAATATTCTGTCTTGCTTTCCCATATTTAAATAATACAAAAGTGGAAGCTGGGATTTTTTTTCTGTAGTTCTGTTTAACAAATTATTCCCATTGGTTTCATAACAGCTTAACCTAATGGAACTTACCTAATGTTCTTATTTATGTGGTAGCACAGGTGTACAGCACTGAAAACTGATCTTCCCTGTGCAGCTTACACAGGAGGATCCTGTTGTGAGATGCTTACTCTGTGAAAAAAGAGAAATGCAGAGCAGTTGACTCAGTAAGCAGGCAGTCAGTGAGTTTTAGACAATGATGAAATGGAATATTTTTCTTGAAGTAGTTTCCAAAGGTTAAGTATGTGTCTTGTTTTAATTAAAATCAACTCTGTAATATGCCTCCTTTTGTCACATTCTGATTTTGGTACAGTTCAGAGAGCTTGGTAGGATCTTTTATTTATTTATATTGCTTAACTTTCCAGCCATCCTTGTGAGGCTAGTGGAGTACGCAGGTAAATGTCCCACCATTCAGTTAAGAGAACAGAGGTAGTGAGGGTGGGTAACTTGTCTAGGAGGATTACCATGCAGATGGAGCTGACATCTAGGAATCCTGTCACTATGCTGGTGTATTCAGTCCTAAAGTATCTCGAGAGCAGTTGTCACAACACAGTACTGTATGGTATAATTTAATGCTCAGATGACTGGGTTATTTTCTCCTTTCCTCCTGGGCCAAGTAGTTGAAACAATATGATCTGCTTACTCTCATGGTTGGAAAAGGGAATGAGCCAACTCCACTTTTTCCCTTCAGGGTTAGCAAAACCAAAAGCTGTCTCTAGTTACACAGCATAGAAACAAACCCTGAAAATGTAGCTTGATTATTGAATGTGCAGAATTGCATCTTTTAAAATTCACTGTTATCTATTAGTTTAACTTATCTGGGCATTATTATTTTATCTTTTTTTGTTTGTTTTCCTCATCTTTACTTACTATCATCACAATTCATTTC